ACAAAAAATAATTAAATTAATATACTGTAAATAAATTAAAAAAAATAGCAAACAATTGCAAGTAAAAAGTATGCAAACTAAAACCTATCTTCCAATAGTTTCAACAAATTTTTTAGGTTTAATTAAATTTAAGATTACAAAAGCTAGACCTAGTTTCAACTTCTATCAATATTATAATTTACAGGCTTCGTCTAACAAATATAATATAAATATTATCAATCTTGAAAACAAACTCACTTACTGGAGATCTAACTACAAAAAAAAAGCTATTTCTTTTGTTTTAGAGATTCTTATATAGTATAAGTAATAACTGAATTAAAACAAATACCCTATAGCAAACCCTCATGATTATTTCTCTGTTTTCATAATTATTTTAACAGTATATAGAGCGAAAGGTGTAGTTGCTAAATATGTAATCAAGTTCTTCTAGACAATTTATTTTTGTGGCAGACAATTCGTTTAAGGTCAGATGATATATGCGATCACTAGTAGGGTTCTGCAAGTGCCAGGCACAGGTACCACAATTACATTATATAGAATAAAGATCAACTAACGCTAATACTAACTCATAAGAATTAATCCTTATTTCAGTATATATATAATAGCGATAGTTACTCTTAAGTATATAGTCTTATTCTTTGGCATATTATCTCTATACAAAGAGATTCTAGGTCATTATTTAAATCAATAATTTAAGAATTTTATTTTCAATATGTCACTGGTTTATGTATTATTTCTATATAGAGAAATTGAAGTTTTAAAATTTCTTGCATCATACTATTTAAATATAGTGTTAGACACTATTTCAAATAGTATGTACCTGGCACTTGCAGAACCCTAGTTACCAAAGATAAAAAAAAAGGCATCTGGGTGGTGCTTGATATCTACTGAAATAAAATATTTAAAGTGGCACTTAAAGTTTGAGCGCTCTAAAAAAATATTCGTTTTAAAGTTATAAGTGCTAAAAAGCAAGCTCTATTAATTCTTTTAAAACTACCCTTCTAAATTACTTAAAATCACTATCTTAAACTGTTTCTTTTAATAATTGCTAACTTGCCTCCTGGTTAATATAACCACCCTTTTATTATAATTCAAGAATAGCTTAAATAATTATGTTTAATACATTAAACAAAAAATATTTAATACTATAAAAAACTTTATTTTAATCTTAACTTTAACCCAAACTCTAATTCAAATTTTATTTTAAATTTAAGCAAAAATTAAGGTTGGTGGTCAACAAAACTCTTTCCAATGATCCTCTAGACAACGCAACAAAAAAAATCGATCTACAGAAAAATAATATAGAAAGTCTCAAGATATACACTATCTTCAGTCCTGTTTTTGAATAAATAGTTGTCAACGAAGCCTAGGGACATGAAACACCAAGGAGTAGACATATTTTGTATAGTTCTTCTTGGGGTTAAGCTTTTGCTAATCGGTGGACTCCTCAAGATATTTGGCATCCAAACCAGAAGAGTATTCTAGGAACTGAATTTATCTCTGAACAGGTTGCTGTCGACCAAGCTTAAAGGATGTGAAACACTAAGGAGCAGGCGTAACTTAAGTGGTTTTTCTTGGGGTCAAACTTTGCTCTTGTTGATAGACTTACCAGGATATTTGGCATCCAAACTAGAAGGTTTATTCTAGAAGCAAGTAGTGCAATAGCCCTCGCTAAGATCGTATAATCTTGTAGAACCAACTATATAACCGTAAAACTTACAGAAGAACTTCACACTCTTTCGTTGGCCCCTACTATTTTTTTTGACGAAATTTTTTTTTTTTATAAAAAGTGGGTGATTTAGTTTACCTTTCTAAAAGATCGATATCACATGCAACAATTAGTTAGCATTGTTTATCTCCCAAATCTGATCAGTAACAACAAACATGTAAATACACGTGCCTTGAATAAATTATCTTTTTGTACAAACAATATTCTGAGATGCATTTCTGGCCTTTCTACAATCTGGGTATTATCCATTAGAGAAAGTATTTTGAATTTAAGTTGAGGAAGTTCTTCCCACTTGGGTTTTACTTAGATATACTAATTAAATAGATGTAGAGTAGAGACTATCTTGTTTAATAGTATATAATTTTTACAAGCCTTAATCAGCTTATATTAGTTATATTAGGATAGCATTTTGTTTTATTTTCTCGTTACTATTTTTACCCTTTCTTTTTTTGTTTGTATCTTTTTATCGTTTCCCCTATACCTCTGTTTTTTTTCTTCCTTTTTGATATTTCTTGTTTTGTTTTTCTACTTCTTGATGAGCCCGTAGCAGCCAGCTGAAAACTGATAGGAAAAAGTCTCCTGTAAGTGGAGGACCCAGAAGGAAGCCAATTGCTACTGAGGCAGGCTACATTGGCACTTTTAAAGTGTTGGTGAGCTTATATTTTGGTTAGACGAAATAGATTAAGATACGAGAATGTAATATTTTTGTTAAAATCCTCAGTCTCAAATAAAATTGGGCAGGCAGCCGAATTACAAAAAAAAAAAAATTAAGGTTGGTTAAAAGTTTATAATTTAACCAGGAATTAAAGTTAGCTAAATTTAAAAAAAAATAAATAAATAAAATAAAAAAAAAATAAAATAAAAAAAAAAGAAGCTTTAAGATTACTAGTACATGATATTTAAAGTTATGCAATGATATCATGAGAAGCCATATAAAGCCAATTGCGAATATTGAAGATTGATCAAAACATGTCTACAAAATATAAAAGTTATACGGTTAAACAAAAGCTTGAAATTATTTCAAAAGCAAAAGAAACATCTAATAAAGCAGCAGTATGAATATTCAGTATTAATCATTCTCAAGTATCCAGGTGGTGAAAACAAGAAAAAAAGTTAGAAGAAGCTGTGCGTTCATGTAGAAGTATCAGTTCTAGAAGAAAAGCCATATATTCTCTTGCAGAGAAGGCGTTAAATGGATAGATTGTTCAATTACAACAAGATAGTCTTGCAGTAATATTATCTACAATAAAGCTTAAAATGAAAAGGCTTTTTAGAACTAGATTTCAACAAGACTACTCTAATGTTTTAGAAACTTTTGAAGCTTTAAATTCTTGGTGCTAGGGATTTATAAACTGATATAACCTTGTACTTCGACGCTATACTAAAGTTGGGCAGAAACTTCTTTATGAATTATCTGAACAATTAGATCGGTTTTATGAATTTATCAAAAAGTCGCAATATATAAATAACTATGAGTTATTCTGTATAGCAAACATAGATGAAATGCTAATTTACTTTAATATGGTTAGCAATCTTACTGTAGATTATCGTTTAGCAAAAACAGTTCAAATAAGAACTACAGGTAGAGTTAGGCAAACTTTGTATATAATAGTTATATCCTGTGTAGTTAGGTATGAGAAGAATTTTGCAGTGAGTATAATCGGCCATGTAAGTGGCCAATTATACTCACTGCAAAATTTCCTTTATATCCAACTACACAAGATATATTATAGTTTAACTTACACTAAGACACTTATTGTAGCTTACATGTAACTCACATAAAAAATTTTAAACTTACAAAAAATTCTCAACCCTAACTATAGGCAATGAAAAAAACCGGTTCATGTGTGTTCTTGCAATCTTGGCTAATAGAGTTAAACTCCTTCCATGGTAATTTTCAAAAACAAAAGACTTCCCTGAGATCTATTTCTCTTGGATATTATTATTAAAATGCAAGAAAATAGGTAGTGGATAAAACTTTAATGAATGAATAGTTAGATGAAATTTGAAAAAAAGGATTTCAAGTTGTGAACAAAAACATAGCTTATTAGTGATAAATTCTTTTGAAAAATATCTTACTAACTCTGTTAAAGCAGAATGTAATAAAATAAATACGGTTAGAAGCATAATCTCTGGTAGACTTACTTTGTTAGTTTAGCTACTTGATATGTGTATCAACAAACTGTTCAAAAACTAAATGAGAAAAATAGCAAAACTGGATAGTACTTGGTGGTTTTGATTTTACGAAAAAAGGAAATTTAAAAAAACCTCCATATAATCTTATTTGTCAATGAATAGTTGAGGTGTGGGCTGATATTCTAGCTGATATGATCATTAATTCATTTAAAAAATGTAGTATTTCTTACGGTATCGAAACAGAATCAGAGAAACAAATGGTAATTTCGGTAGATGATGATGAAAATTACCCAATCATCTATATTAAAAATCTGTTTAAGTACTGGTTAGTAATTAAAAAAAAAACAAAAAAAAAACAAAACAAAACCTAAACCTAAACTAACTACTTAATTAGGATTAGATAGTTGTACAAGCCAACACATATTTAGTAACAAATAATCTATATTGGATTTAAATTACTTCTTCATGTAACAAGAGATAGTTTCACTAAAGATTTAATTTGGAATTTATGCAATAAGTGTAAAAGTTAATGATACTAATGAAATCCTCAATGATTATAAGATAGTAAATATCTTTACTATAGTTCATTTATTAAAAATTACAAATACTGATAGTATATAAAGTCTTGGTGAATTAGAATTATGATTCTACAATATAATGCAAAACTATAAAGCAAAACTATAATAAAGCTATTGAATTTGCTTAATACAAATATTTGAAGACCGAATTGATTGAAAATTTTATTCATATAATTATCTAACAAAGGTATAAAAGTCTATTTTAATTTTTACAACTCAGAAGCGATGAACCAATTATGCAATTCATATAATTCAATTTTATTGTATTGTTAATACTTAATACTAGCAATTTCACATCATATAAATGATTAAATCAAATTTTATAAATTATTATATGACAGGGTAAAATCTGTGCAGAAATAGTTATATTATTAATGCAAATCCCAACTAAAATAGTAACTAACTCTAATTAAGTATAGATCTGCATCAAGAAAGTTATCACCTCTGCGCAGATTTTACCTTTTCATATTATTATCATTTATTTTTAATACTTATCCGAATTGACAAAATCCACCTATACGATAGAATTCGTAATTTATATGTGCAGTATATATATTAGATTTACTGATGATTATGAAAGACAACAAAATAGAAAACAAACCTGAAAGCTCTGATGGAAGAAATGCCAAAAATAGCGAATAAAAGAAAGCATTAGAATATTATCAAAAATTAGTAGAGATGGCTCATGTTAATAGAATGCATCTAGACAAATATTGCTATGAGAGCAGAAAAGGAATAAACCAAGACATAAAAAATCTATAGATACATATAATTCGATTATTAATATCTTAAATTTTAAATTTTAACGATCTATTAGATACATATAAAGAACTTTGTATCAAACTAAATTGCTACAATAAATAATAACAAGAAACATAAGGCTATACAAAATTAATTTTTTGTTTCTTATAACATAAAATTTCAAAAATAACATGGTCAGCTAGCTTTTATTTTTTAGAAAATTTTTAAAAAAAAAGTTTAAAATCCCATCTAACCATTAAAATATATAAAAAAATTTCTAAAATTTTCAAAATTTGATCCGGCCAGGTTAGAAAAGACAATTGAATTTGTATAGCCTAATAATTAAATTAATATACTATAAATAAATTAAAAAAAATATAAATAACTACAAGTAAAAAGTATATGAAACTCAAATCTATCTTCTAATAGTTTCGACAAGTTTTTTAGTTTTATTTATTAGGTTGAAGATTATAAAAGTTAAACCCAGTTTTGACTTTCATCAATATTAAAATCTACAGACTTTGTCTAACAAATATAATCTAAATGTATTATCAATCTTGAAAACAAACTCGCTTACTAGAGATCTAACTATAAAAAAAAGCTATTTCTTTTGTTTTAGAGATTCTTATATAGTTTCAGAGGCTATTTTCTTAAAATTTTATTAAGACAATCACTAATTTGGTTCTATGAAACTAGGGCTATTTTGATTAGAAGAATATTTTTTATTTACCATAAATTACCGAAAATAAGCACCCCCTAAAAATAAGCACACCCTATGATAATCATTAACCTTCAAAAATAAATATCCCTAGCCGAGATCATTCGTAATTGGTTAATTACTAAAATTTATTCACATATACACTGCAGATATAATCTGACTTTAAATGAATTATCCAGAAGAACTTAATATATTTTTCGCTCTATATGCTGTTAAAATAATCATGACAATAGAGAATATTTATGAAGGTTAGCTATAGAGTGTTTTTTTTTTTTTTTTTTGATATTAAGGTAACCTCTTGATCATGTACCTTTATTCGATTATAGTTATAATTTTATAGTATGTAATTTTCACATCTCGTATATATATTTGGAGAGTACAACTAGTCACACGTGCAACTTTTGGTTGCCTATTTAAGTAGTCCGCTTATTACTAAGTTTTACACTAGATGTTATACCTATAATCTGACTAGAAGGTTATCTATTTAAACTCTCTGCGCCTATGTGATTATACCTGATAACTGAGCGAGAATTCAATTTGGAAACCCTTAGTTTTGGATACTGACTTAGGACTTTAAGGCAGGCTCCTTGCCCCCAAGAGCCTTTTATCCTCAGAAATAAACCTGCTAGAGCCTTCTGTACCTACAATCCAGCTAATCTAGTCTTCGGTTGATATGCACAGGCCAAGGCCTGCCACTTGCATCCCCAGTTTCCATATTAGATACTATGGCCTGGTTGCCACTACACAATGTACTTCTGCCCTTATAGAGTTCACTCCAAACCCCAGTATACATGTTACAGACCATCTACGGTATTCTTGATTATCCCAAACTACTAATCCAGATAGCCCGAAAGGGCTGTGGTCTGCTCCTGGTCCCCACAGTTGGGTCTTTTTCCTCCGGTTATTTCTTTGGCGGCCTAGTTGGTAGAGTGCTTTGCCAAATACTTTGGTCCTATTCAGTTTTACCAGTTTCTCTGATGATGATCCTTTACATAATACCGTCGAAGATCTGTACTATCTTTCTATTCAGAACTTGCTAAGCGAGCACTATACTACCGTATTGGCCCTGTAGCTTTCTGTGATCCAAAGATCATTTGTGTAACTTATACATCACACAAAGGCCCCAAGATTTTCCAGTTCCGATAAATTGGTATGACCACAGTTACAGGGTTTTGAGTTTTCCCGGCCACGACGATACTTGCCAAATCTGTTTTTTGAAATTCAATTTTCGTCTCTAGTGGGAATTAAACTTGTACTCAACCGCTTGGGGGTGTGACAACTTCACCACTTCACTAAGTTGCCACACCCTCTATAGAGCGTTTTTTTAAATTCAGTTGTTACTTATACTATATAAGAATCTCTAAAACAAAAGAAATAGCTTTTTTTT